TATAAACATTTTCTTAATCCATTCATATGTTGAAGGGCACCTAGGTTGGTTCCATAGCTTACTATTATGAATTGAGATGCTATAAACATCGATGTTGCTGCATCACTTTATTATGCTGATTTTAAGTCCTTTTGGAATAGACTGAGAAGTGGAATAACAGAAAGTCAAATTCTAAATACCCTGAGGTTTCTCCTTACTACTTTACATAGTATGCACCAGTTAACATTCTTACCAGCAATAAATTTATGAACATTTCCCCCCACATCCTTTCCAACATTTATTGTTATTTATATTCTTGATAATTGTCATTCTGATTGAAGGGAGATTAAATCTCATTGTAGTTTTTATTTGCATTGTCACAAGTTTCTAGAGATGTTGAACATGTTTTTTCATATATTTATTGGCCATTCATATTTCTTCTGTGAAGGGCCTGTTTACCCATTTATTGATTGGGCTATTTATTTTTTGGTGGTTTTTTTTTTAATTTTTATTTTTAGTTCTTTGTATATCCTGGAGTTCAATGCTTTATCTGAGGTACAGGTGGCAAAGATTTTCTCCCATTCTGTAGGCTGTTTCTTCATGTTCTTAATTGTTTCCCTTGGTATGAAGAAGATTATAGTTTGATACAATTACATTTAATGATTCCTAATTTTACTTCTTGCACTTTAGGAGTATTATTGAGGAAGTCTGTAAAATGGCAGGATGAAGAGTGGGGCTTTCAGTTTCTTCTAGTAAGTGCAGGGTCACTTACTAATGCCTAGGTTCTTGATCCACTGTGAGTTGAGTTTTGTACAGGGTGAGAGATAGAAATTTAATTTCATTCTACTACACATAGCTTTCCAGTTTCCCCAGCATCATTTGTTGAAGAGGCTATCTTTTTCTCCAGTATGTTTATGGTGCTTTTGTCTAGTATGAGATAATTGTACCTATATGGATTTGTCTCTGTGACTTTTATTTTGTACTATCAGTCTTCATGTCTGTTTTGGTTGTGAATACCATGCCATTTCTGTTACCATAGCTCTGTAGTATAATTTAAAGCCTGGTATTGTGATGTCTCCTGCTTCACTTTTCTTGCTAAGGATTGATTTGGCTATTCTAGTCCTCTTTTTTTTTTTCCAAATAAATTCATGACTGATTTTTCTATTTTTATGAAGAATATCATTGAAGTTTTACACTTTTGGTAGAATGGCCAATTTACTTATATTACTTCTGCGTAACAAATAACATAAGAGATCTTTCCATTTTCTAAAGCCTTCTTCAATTTCTTTCTTTAGTGTGCTGTACTTTTCATTGTAGAGGTTTTTTACTTCTTTGGTTAAATTGATTCCCAAGTATTTAATTAATTTATTTTTTGAGACTGTTGTGAATGAGATAGTTTTCCTAATTTCTCTTTCAGTTCATTCATCATGGTGTATAGAAATGCAATTTATTTATGAGTGTTAATTTTATATCTTGCTACTTTGATGAATTCATTTAGGAAGTGTAGAAGCTTTCTGGTGGAGTTTTTGGGGTCTTCTTCAATTAGAATCATTGTTGGCAAATAGGTATAGTGTGAGTACTTCTTTTCCTATTCATATCCATTTAATTTCTTTCTTTTCCTAATTTTTCTGGCTAGGATTGCAGGGACCATGTTGGATAGAAGTGGTGAAAGATGGAATCCCTGTCTTATTTCAGTTTTTGGAGAGAATGCTTTTAGTTTTTCTCCATTTAGAATGGTGCTGGCCTTGGGTTTAGCATATATAGTTTTTACAATGTTGAGGTATGGTCAGACAATCTCTTGTTTTTCTAGTTCTTTGAGCATGAATTAATGCTATATTTTGTCGAATGCTTTTTCAGCACCTATCGAAATAATATTGTGATTTTTGTCTTTAAGTTGATTGATGTGATGAATTATGTTTATTGATTTCTGTATATTGAACCAACCTTGCATTCCTGGGATGAACCCCACTTGATCATGGTACATTATCTTTTTAATATGTTTTGTATGTAGTTTTCCAGTATTTTATTAGAAATTTTTGCATATATGTCCATTAGGAATATTGGTCTGAAGTTTTCTTTCCTTGTTGTGTCTTATCTGGTTTTGGAATCAGGGTAATAGTGGCTTCAAAGAATGAGTTTGAAAGGGTTCTCTCCTTTTCTATTTCACAGGATAATTTGAGGAGCATTGGTGTAAATTCTTTTGTTTTTATTTTGATAAAAATTCTGTCTTTAAGTTACTTCTTTCTTCTTGCATTTTACTATAAGCATTTAAGAG